AGATGATGAACTGGAAAAATTGGAAAAGAAGGACTTCAAAATGCTTGAAAAGTTATCTTAGAAAATCCAAGAAACTAGGACCTACATGCTGGAGAACATCCTAGAGCACTGTCTGAGGATGTGGCGTGTCCATCCAACTTCCCCTTGATGATTCCAGCTCCCATGCGAGTCATGCCGCCAGGCAGTCCACTCAGCCGCTTTTCACTGAAGGGACAATCGGGAATGTTGAGAGACTCCTGAACATTGCGCTGAACATTGCGCTGAACATTGCGCTGAACATTGCGTAACAATCGTAACATAGCCATGGCAAAGACCGGAAAAGCAAGGAGTCAAAGGTCATCAAGAGGTGGCTTCAGCATGCTTCACCCAACTGCACATGTACAAACCTACAGTATAGCCTTCAGGAATCTTTAAATTCTCAGTGTCCTCGAATTCACTCATGAACTTGTCAGAGATGAATTTCAAAGGTTGGCTCAGCATTGAGAGCACCTTTCGGCAGGCCAGCTGGAGTACAATCGCGATTTTCACTCAGCAGTTCAAACTTATTGGCATTGGAAATCACATGAAATCTCCCTTCAATGTAGGCAGACTTCACAATGCCGTGAAGCTGATGAGACATGACTTAGCATTGAAGCTAACTATGATGCGAAAAAATGACCGGCAGAAAACGAGTTCGATTTCATGGAAAGTAGTTTGTTGCGCCTCCCCAATAGCGATACATAGCGATGGTTCTGCTTACATAGAGTTACTACGTGTAGATCTCAAGATTCGATTCCAAAGATGTAGATCTACGTCTACAGACATAGCTACAGTAATTGATGCTAATCATAACTAGGTAGATGTATTTATATTATATACAATACATATAATATCCGTGCATATATATATATATATATATAATTATGCATTATCATATGTACATATATTATATTATGTCATATGATGTCATATGTATAATCATGTATTATCATGTGTACATTGTACATATATTATATAATGTAATGTGCTGTACCTCATCACATCACAACTGTTGCAGCTGTACTCTGTCAGTGTGCAGCGCCTCTGCTGCCTCCCCTTCTAAGCCGCAGCTGCCCTTCGCGAAGTCCGTCAAACGTGGAGCACAGGGTGGAGAAAATCTGGGCATGGCTTCTTCACCTCGAGACTACGGTGAAAGATGTGAAGTATTGAGGACTACTGATCGACTACTGTTTTATAGTGTTTATGGTTTTTTTCTCTCTAAACAAAAAAGGGATATGGTGAGCCATGTGAGATGCTGACCGAACCAGACTGAACAGTTGAACGACAATGATTGATAAGATATTATTGAGTGTACCATCGTGTACAACTTTTACCTCTTATACCTGAGGGCATCGCTGATCGTGAGCTTGTCCTGGTGGGAGTCGTTGCGGCAAGTCACCTGCTAAACATCTCAATAATCATGAATGGAGAAAGCGCTTCCTTCTAGCCTTCCAGCTTTCCAACTCGAGTCTACTCAAGTAGCTGGCCTGTGGCACCAGGGTCTCTGCACAGCTGAAGCCAGACTCCAAGGCTTTGTGCAAGTCATTGAGAAAGGTCAGGCCACAGCTCTCATCATGTCCAATCCTCGTTCAACAAATATTGTTGTTAAATTATTTATTCATTTATTCATGTATTCATTTATTTATCTATATTATATATATACTATATTATATTATTACATCAACATATCAAGTCATGGAGAAACTATGCAACACCCTGAGGCTTGTGGCTTTGCGCAGCACTTGACATGCACCAAGCAGCAGTGCTGTGTGGAATTCTAGTGGCTGGTCGCGGTTGACTCTTCATTCCAAGAGTCAGACATCCATATTTGGACTCCTTGTATAATTTGGCCTAGCCAGGTTGGGAAACCGGCGATGCTCACAATGTCAATCCTTGCTCAGTGAATCTCAGTGATATGACCGACTCAATGCGATTTCCATGGTGCTTTGGACACTCGATGTCCAAGCGACTGCATCATGCCAGGGGGGAAGGCTGCCAGTCGTGCCCATCGCGTTCATACCAAGCACAGACCAAAGGGTACCTGACCAGCTGGAAAGTTCCTTTCATGTCCTTTCAAATTCTCAAGCTGAGTCTGGTCAAAGTGCTCTTGCATGCTCTTTCGCTGCTTAAATTAAGCAGCAAGGCACAATCAAAAGTGTGTGGGGCCCACGGGGTGCTGGCTTTCCAAGAAGTCTAAATCCAAAGAAACCGTCCATGAAGTCTGTCTTTCCGCCAAGGTGCAAATGATTCGCATGTCGTCTCCTGACCGAGACTGTGGTTGAGACCCTGGCGATTCGATATCATGCTTTCTTGCGAATCTGCAGCGTTGCATACTTTGCCCCAATGCCACATCATCTGTCTGCCAAAACACTATGACCCTTTATAACCTTTATATAGCACTCTCGGCGAAAACCCAGTCTCCTGAAGGATTCTTAGCAAGTCGAATGACTCTCAACCAGAACCTGGAGTAGCAAAGGTTGCATACAGGATCATGTCACAATAGTACAAAGATCCGTCGGTTGATCAAAAATGTTGCTAGTGCCAGCAAATATATATTTGAGTCGCAGCAGTGCATTTTGACTACTGATTCGCTTACGTAATCGATTTTCTGCCTGATACACAAGAAATCACAAGAAATTGTTGGCCATGTGGCTTTTCAATGACCAATCGGACAAGACGTTTCGTCACGTCTTTTCCATTCAGCGTGGCTTTGCTGGTTCCTGGCACAGCGAACGAGTTCCACACAGTTCCATCCGATCCGCAGTTCCAGTTCGACCCTGAATGTTATCGTACTTTTTCAGTGTCAGGTACAGTGGCAGTACTACATATGCTACAGAATCGATCATGCTCCTAGGCCATAATTAGCCAGAGAAAAGTATCAGCCTTCGTATCAGCAGAGCATGTCGGATGCCTGTGAGGATTGCATACAGAGTGAAGAAGAGCGTTCCGGAGCAGGTCCAATCTTCCTCAGGGAAGGGAAAATCCTTCAGTGTGAGTAGATTCTGATGCTAGCTGTCCATAGCTGTCCCTTGATGGCTGCAGTACTTTGCTCGGGCTGCTAGGGCCCAAGCCCGGTCACAACGGTCCAAGAGCTGAACAAGGGACTCCAAGTCCGTCCGATTGTTGCCCTCATCCTTCATGTCAACCGTGAAGTTTTCATACCTTGCAACTGAGTCAGCTGACAACTCTCCAACTGACAGAAGACGTCGTCAAAATCTGAGATTCACCATTGAAAGGTATTACAAAGTTGTGTCATGTCTATTCCCTGCAATGTTACTTCATGTAGGAGTAGGAACAGCTGCACGGAACTCCAAACACTTCCAAGGGAACGGGAAACATGATGACAGAATATGAAACACGTATTAATAATTATTAATATGGGTTTGTCTTGGTTTGTCTTAAAATATGGTCCCCATTGGTCCCCCATATTTTTCAGTGGTTTATCATCCTTTTCCCTAGTAATGTGGTTGTTTGGGGTCATGTTCATCCATTTTCAAACTGACAAACAAACCCATCTTCTCCGTCCAGTGGCCATCGATTTTTTGTGAAGACCTCCATGTTTCTTTGCAGGTTTTGATAGCCCAGGAGACCTTGGCTCCCGTCCGGCATGGGATTTTTGTTGGACGATGGGCTACCCTCAAATTTGATGGTTGATCATCTTTTCCATATTGAAAATGATTTAGAATTGCCGAAAAAATGGATTTGAAAAACCCCGCCACATATATCCACATCATGGCTCGCTACACTTCAAGCATGTCGAATACACCCTTTTGGGCCTTCTCGACGTGCAGCTGGATGGCGCGAACCATACCTGAATGAAACAAAAAGCAACAAACCAGTCCATCAAAAACATCAAAATCAAGGGCTTTCCAAAAGATTTAAATTTTCTTAGCCGTTCAGCTCTACTGGCACCTCGGAAACAATGTCCACTACATCTGTATGACATATAATATCTATATATATACATTTCAATATATATATATATATATTGAAATAGTATGACATTAATTGACATTACATCTGTGAACAGAAAGAAGGTCCGCTTGCAACTCCCATGACTGCCATGACTCCACACTCGTCTTGACCTCGGTATGCCAAGGTCTAGCTAGGTCTAGGCCGAGTCCAGGCCGAGTCTAGGCCGAGTCTAGGCCTAGGTGCCGAAGAACACATGCTGGGCTTCCATTTTGAACCGCCTCGACAAACTTGAAGCGGTTGTCGGCTTGTTGCCAGGACCTGAGCTCACTGAGCTCTGACTAAATCTGACTAAAACATCTCCAATTTTCTTATTTCATTATTGAGAAATCTTGAAAAATGATCAAAGCAGATTCTGATCTTCTGGGCATTTGATGGCATTTGGATACCTGGGGGGTACAAGATGGTACAAGGGAACACACGGTCATTCAAGTAAACTGCTTTCCTACTTGGGTTATCTATTCACTATGCTTGGTGTTCCAAATTAGGTCTTGAAGGTCAGCAGAAATCCAACAAGACCTGAACTTAGATATCGTCGTTGAGACAGGCGTCTCGCAGCCCATCTCCTGCATATTCCGCAGCAAGACGCCTTGCGCAGTTGGATGGGTCATGATAGCATAGAAGTTGAACGAAGAACATGTTTAAATAATAATAATAAGCAGAAAGCATGCGTCGGAGACGCGAGCTGATTCTGCAGTACGCCCAACACGGGTTTCACATATTGATTTGCGGGTAAAGGTTCTCTGGTTATCTCGATTGATCTCCCGGTTCTGAGATCTTCTGCCTTCTTCACGCAACTGCAGCTGGCAGCTCTGTGATATGTGGGTCAGCTTCAACAAGTAGTCGCTATAGTCCGACTGGATGAGCTTGTTGTCCTCGTCAACTCACACATCGAACCCCATCAATAGATCCAACAAAACAGAATCTAGATTCAGACCTGAACAGTTTGAAGATGTTTGAAGCAGCCAAGTGGAAGTGGAAACAGGAGAAAAAACCTGCAGCAAAAATGATCAGGCTCGCTCAACAAGAGCACGGACCCCAGAGAATGTCCATAGCCATGTCACTGGGTCCAGGAGAGGGTGCTTTGGATTGTGCGCAATAAGAGCCAACACCAGCTTCAAGCGCAAAGCTGAAGCATCCGGATGTCGGTCCTCAGAACTTAGCACTGAATCAAGAGACACCTCCTAGACATTCCTACATTCCTAGACTATCCTATCAACCCCACTAAGACAAGGCACAAATATGCAGCGGTTCTCATCAAGTTGCGATCAAGCAGCTTTCATGGTTGAAAAAAGGGTCATCTTCAAAAGGCGGAACTCTTCGGCTGAAATACCTCCGGCTCAGTCAAGATGACTCATGATGAAGCTACTGTAGCCAACTATCGTAATTGGTCACCTGGCATCATATCGCATCATGCAGTGCAATTCTATGGGTCCGGTCCAAGTAGCCAAACCATTGCCTGTTGGAAATCCCTTGAGTATCTCAACCTCTCATGTCAGTCCGTGATTATTCTGCCTTGACCCGGAATTGCATCTTATACGGGATTCATTCAAATTTCCTTCCAGGAGTGCATCTCGGCGTAGCACTGGCCATTCCCCACCTTCATCAAAGCCCACCGAGCCAATCAGTCTTGCGCAAGCGGTGTAGTCACGGTGCAGCAGGGTCCTACAGAGAGAAGCCACACGGCAAGCCTTACAAGAGCCTTCAAGGGTTCTGACACTGCTCAGTCAAGATTATCAGAAATTCAATATCCTGGTCTGTCATCAAGTTGGACAAGGATGAAAGATTGCCCAAAGACTCTCTTGTGTCAAATGCGTTGAACCCTTTTGAACCATTGTGAGATATGTGCAAGCAAGGTGCAACAGGCTCAAGTAGAGTGTGCCACTCAGCGAGGACGTCAGCAATAGAGATCCAGATTCATGGAAGTCCCAAAGGAAAGTCTTGCCACTCAGCGCAACTAAGATCTTTCGGTTCACCACCAAATCCTCGGATCACCAGATATCACCAGATATCACCAGCTGCGGCAATGCAACCGTTCAAGAAGCACATCTGCATGCAACGATTGCAACTTACATAAGCAAGCTACGTGATATTAAGTAATAGAGATCATGAAGAATCATGTTACAACGCGTAGTTGTTCCTTGGAGGGCTGCCCCTTGTGCGAAGTATAATCTTTCCGCATGTCACTTGTCACTTTGGGATGCTGAGCTTCTGTTGAGAAGGGCTTGCATTTGATGTTCGGCCTACAGCTGAACAGTGCAGAATGCAATCACAGTTCCAAGCACTTCATCTAGAAACCTATATCGTACATCATAATTACATTATAAGACATTATAGATCATTGTAGAACAGTACAATCATGTACAGTCTGTAAATGTCTGTAAAATGAAATCTATTGCAGACAAACGGTGATACTTTGCTCCAGGCCTTGTGACGTCAGCACTGGTCACAAGGATTCGGATAGCACCAGCAGCACTTCTCAAGACCACTGCATGGGGCATCTTGGCCAAAAACGCGGCCTTGGTGGCGGCCACTTGACAAACATCATCAAACCCTGAGTGCCTATTGCATCATATCGCAACCAGTTGCTTGGAACATGTTGGAAACTTTCAGCTTGGCGGCAAGATCGGTCGCACGTGGATCGCCCGTAGCTTCTTGCCATGCCTTTCAGTGCTTTGCGAGTTAGAAAAATTAAGAAAGTCAAAGTTTAGCGTATAACAAACATTCAGATTCAACCAAGAAAAGGCAACACAATTCGTCTAGAAAGTCCACACCCACTACTCTCCACTCAATGAGTGACAGATTCTATATATTCTTGATTGAAGAGGTGAGAAGCTGCTAGCGCTGCTATCAGAAGAGTCTGATTATTTCGACAACCTTTGGCATCATTCCCGGCGCCTCAGGATCAAAAACCCCTCTCCGGTTCAAAAGGTAGAAACCTCACACGCCAAAATCGTCACGAAGATGGCAGTCCCTACAACTTGGACACATGTTTCAACAGGCACGTCATCCTCGTGGAGGCATCTCTAACATATCAATATCAAACCCTCTGATCAAGTTCAAATGAATCAAGAATGAACTTCAACAATATCATTATATATCAATAATCAGTCTAATTTAGTATCAAATATAGAATCTATATATACATCTATATTATATAATATACACTAATATACTATATATTCAGCAAAAGTATCTTGACAAAAACCGTGGCCTCATAATTTCTCAGTTTTCTCATATCGCTTTCCGTGGAATTTTCCCTCGCCTCCGAACTCCTTGGAGAAGAGCCGAAGTCCACGGTTGTTGGGATCGGGTCCAGGCACGAAGCGCAGCTGCACACGCGGAAGCTCCACCAAACACACAGCACTGCCCTCCTCGGCGAATGGAAAATCAAAGTCGAATGGAATGAGGATGAAACATGATGAAACATGGGCGGCGCCGCCTAATCGTAGGAATCCTAGCAGTAAGAATCCTAAGATCTATGATGTCAGAGTTCAAGATATGATCCTTCGACGCAACGCGAGAAGATATGGTGTTTATGTGATTTGTAGTTGTGGTCATGTATCTCGTGTTCCCAGCTGGTCCGTTTTGTTCCATGCAGGTTCTATGAGCATCCGTTGCTGTTGAAAACTGGTTCATCTACAGCATTGCACAAGACATCACAAGACTGCCCCTCTTGGAATCCAGTGACCTCATCGGTCCAGAAGAGGGTGTGGCTCATCGCTTCCAGTGGTCCCAAAATCGCAGCGAAGCGCTCAATCTGAGAGCCGCTTGGTGCATGGATTGGGCTTGCCAAAACCCAGGTCTTGTCGCCAACTTGACGAGTGACCTGACAACAGCAAAAAATCACACAGGTTGAGAAATTGAACTCACTGTCAGTAGCATATTGCCTTTTATTAAATCTAGTTTCATGTATACACTCACATACTAGCGTACACCGTGTCTGCCGATCTATCAACTTGAAGGCGCCTTTCGTGCTGAATGCTTTTATGACTGGTCAAACAACCGCACACAAAGGAATGCCGCGAAATGAAAGAGTGCTCTGGTTCTTGTAGTCTTCCCTCTCTCAAAGACTTTGAAATACTCTGCTTGCCTTTGCTAGTCCATTCTCGCACGTCACTTGCAATGTGTAGTTGAGGGTGTTGTAGACAGGTGGATTGTATGGTTTACCTGCGAAGTCTGATAAGACATTGCTGACAGAATGGCAAAGAATGGCCGCGAAAGAAAGGCTCGAGAAACTTGGAGAAATGATATATAACATTATATAACGATATTATCGATATCATCCGATGTCCAAACTCTCCAAAATCTCCAGAATGTCCAAAACTGGAATTAGTGCCTGTGAAGCTCACGACACCATGCTTCTCTTCTGCCCAGAAGCGGCAGCCCTGCGGCACGCTTCAGTTGCTTCCGGGATGTGTGGTATATATTGGTACATATTGGCATACGAAGCCAGTGCCAGAGATGCCAGTGTCTCCTTATCGTAGAGAATCGTCTATCAAAGGATATCAAAGGATATCAAGGGCATCTTGTCTGTATTGCGGGTTGACTCCGTCTTCGGAAGACTTAAAGAGGCTGCGCTGGCCACCTACAGCTCTGTTCAATTCCTGTTTTCCACGTGTCAGTGTCAGCGCTACAATCCCAAAAACTTCTACAACACAAGACTACAATGGCCCACCAAGTGAGACATTGCTTAAAAGACATCCGTTCCCCAAACAAACCTCCAAAAGAACAGCAGGAAGCAGCCCCTGCAATGCCACAGGGGGGACCCAGAGCCGCTTGCTATCGTCCAAGATCGCCAGGGTCTCATCTTTCACTAAGAAGCCTGCAGGCACAGGGTCTCAATGGGTCTCATGTCTCAAGATGTCTCAAGAAGAAAGTCTATCACCAGAAAACTACACCCTGACATGACTGACATGATCATAATATGACCTGACACGATTTGACATGATCTGATATGCCTTCTGCAGGATGCTGCAAAATGCTGCAAATCTACTACGATGTTTTTTGACACTCGCACCTATCTTTCCAGCAAATTGCGGATTGCATAGTGGTCGTTCTTCTCTGTCCAGGTCATTCGGTACCAAGGATGCATATGAGAAGGCCGCATCGGAGCAAAAGACTTGGGACCGGAAGGAATGGCGTCCGAAGTCCTTGGCAAGTGACCATCAGAGCACTTCCATGACTTCATGGCTGAACCGGAGCGGAAAGACACAGAAAGACCCTGCGAATATCATCGAACAACACAATTGCATACTGATTTTCCAAGGCACACTGTGAGTGAAGACACGAATCACAGCATGCCCTTCACAAGCGAATCGAGCTTCAAGGATTCCTTGCCTGGATGAATTTGGGGAGTTGTTTCGGAAAAGTGTAGCGTGCTTCACACCAAGTCAAGTCAGTCTTCGCATCTGGCTTGACTTGACACAAGATGACACAAGTCTAGAACCAAGAAACCCCAGACTCCTATAAATGATGTCACATGGTTGTTGTTGCATGTTTTTGCATCTATCCAATTGGTCAACCGCCTCTCCAGCAACAAAGAATGCTTTCACCACAATCAATATGTCCCTGGCCTGTCCATATGCTGCACAGCCACCAACTCTTTGGTCTCAGGTGCCAAGTGATGGGCAAGCGAATCTACTGCTTATTCAAGATAACGTCAAGAGTCTTGAGTCTGCTATCACTTGGTTGAGTCGTTACATGTTGTTTCCATCAAGTACCACAAAACATCACAAAACTATATATGTTCACCGAAAGTTCTTCTTTCATTCAAGTGACCTTCTCTGATGCCTCTTGGTGTTTCAGATTGTGCGCAAAGTGAATGTTTCAGAAACGATAGCAACGCAACTTACCATGCCGACCCGATGTTCACAAGGCAGATAAGCGACATTAAGTTGGTTCGTCTGGCAGTACCAAGAGTTCATCAATGGCCCCAGTGCTTCTCCTGGTTAGCTTCACGTGGATACACGTTGTGGACACGAGACAACCTGAGACATCCTGAGACTCAGTATGACTCAAGATGACTCAAGTCTCACTCCCTTGGCCCATGCCAGCACGCCTTCATCATCATTGCCAGGATCTTGTGCAAAAGTAAGAAGCCTCTCCCAGACTTCGGCCAATTCGTCTTTGCCCTGCCCTTTGAGCCTCGCGTTTTGGATTGCATGGCTTCTCACATGGCACTGATATGGAAAGCCAATGAGGCTAATGGAATACGATGTGTATCCAATCCGAAGCTGAGGCCCAAGCCAGGATTGCACATCTTGCAATTCACACACGATACCTCCAGGCAATCTCCATTGGTCATCCTGCTTCCATGGCATTGCTACCTCAAAATCATTCAAAATCCACGATGCTGGCGATGCTAGCGGCAATGGTTCTCGCACCAATATAGCATGACATGGTCCACGGCTGACATGGTCTACCATCCACCAGTCTGGGTGGAAATTGTGTTTTTTCAAAAAGAACCAAAAGTGTTTTTTTTCGTGGAGCACTGTTGCAGAGTATTACCCTTTCTTGAGACTCGGCAAAATTCATCTGAGCGGCTCCAGTGCACGATCCTTGCGCTTTCCACTTCAAGCCCTGATCATCCTGTCAATTGTCGCACGATCCCAGAAAACACTGCGAGAAGAAAGCTGCCTAGCTGCAGTAATATCAGACAATGGTCTGTCCTCTGCAGATACGTATTCGTTTTGCTGTTGAACTGATGACCACCACCTTGATGCCCGGATATGTGTGGGTTGAAAGCTTTGCACCAGCTGTGTCTTTGCACTTCCCTCGTGGCTTCTCCGCAAGCTATGACGGCGCAAGTTCAGTGAAACTGAGACATCTGAGACCGTCTGAGACTCCCTGCTGCAGCTCAAATGCTTTGCTGTCGTCATCGACTGCAGAGAGCATGTGGCAGTTCCGCGCCAGCCTGGACCAGATATTCCCATCCCGTGGCGGTCGGGAGATGAGAACGTGGAGTTTCAATGCCAGCCCATGCCAGCCCTTGCCTCAAAGGACGGCAGGTTGGCTGCAGTTTTACAGGATGCATCCGAAAGAACTCTGCCTGCGCCAGCACAAGTCAGCATCAATCTGACCAGTGGGAGTAACCACACACGAGTGCGGCTTCTTTGCACCAACCGTCGACTTGTAACTTTTTGTAACTCCTAGCATGACCACTACGACCTGAGACCCAAACAAACTGTGGAGTCCGCTGGAGCTTGGGCGGAATGGGGCGCAGCAAGCCTGGTGATGTGCCCACAGACTGGGTCGCACCAAATTCCGTTGAGCTTCAGTGGAAGTGATCCAACGAAGTGACTTAGCAGTATTTCATGCTTGTTTTTTAATAGAACAGAAGGGGATGTGTGTGTGTGTGTATACACATAATTCAAATGGACATGCACATATAGAGAGAGAGAGAGAAGGTCATTTTCATCCCGGCCTGATTCCAGCCACAAAGTACATGTTTGAAGATTGAAGACCTCAGACCATGGTTCAACTGCTGTCTGCTCTGCATCCCAAGGGATGCCACGAGCATCCCTTGGTACGGTATGCCTGCCATACAACAGGACAAAGTATGTTGACCAATAGAATGACTACATGACTTACATCTAATATACTTACATGGCATATACTATATAATTATATAATATGACAATTACTGCTAATACATACTAGTACCATAGATCAAAAACGATTAACATCATGGACATGTTTGTCGGAAACTCCTTAAAAAGCTGCTGGCCATGAAAGAGCTCAACCACTTCGATGCCAAGCTTCAGCTGCTCCACCCTTCTTGTCGCACTTCCAGGTTCCAGAACCCTTCTCGGCATGCCATTCGTCCGCATCTTGGATCGCTGACGCGGATTGACGCGGTACGTTCGAAACTTGGGAAGGGACAAGGAACAGGTTCGTACAATTAGGCCGCAAAAACATGTTTAAAAAAAAACGCGATTTGCCTTCGTTGATTGAATTGCTTACCTCATTAAGCGTATGATACATTCTTCAGGACGAATCCTGCGACCAGGACGCCAGATGTGAAAAAGTTCGAAGTGATCTTGGCTGCCTGGTTCACATTGGTTCAGCTCTCGCACAAGACATACAGTGGATGCGGGCAGGATGGGCAAGCTGGGCAGGCTCATTCAGTTCCGATTCGGGCTGATTGATCAAATATATCAAATGTGATGGTGCCTGGTCCAAGATGTACTTCCGTTTGGGGGAATCGTTCACGGCAGCGATGACCTTGCCCACACCAAACCAACCCAAGCCAAAGACTGAGATGATCCTGTTGTGAAGCCAACATGATACACTGTAGAGAAAAAATGATATGACTCATGTAGAAACTGAGACAAAGGCCTCCACTCTCCTTCTTTGAACCACTTCAAAGACCATCCTGGGGTTGAAAGCGAGATATGATGAGATATGGGTTTGTTGGGAAATGGTGCATACCCCCCAAATGGATCCAAATGGCCATTTTTATGGGGACAATGATGATAACTGATAACTGTAGATTGCTAATTTGGGCTGTAGCAGCCAGGGTTGTACCAAACGACCCCACTGCCAAGGGGCTGCAATTCTGTGCCAAATGTGTCGGAAAAGTCGCGCTCGTACCAAGCCATGACGTATGAGCAACCTAAAGATCAAACAGATTGCATCTGACTAAAATGCTCAGGAAATCTCAGGAAAGATGCCGCGCTTGCCATCAAGGTTGTTTTCCATCCAGCTGTCGAAAGAGTTGAGCGGACTGTGTGCAATCTTCGTGACTGCTCAAAAGAAGAATGAGGTTGTCGGCGTCGGACCTTACATGCTCACCGGATGAAACAAAACTGAAAATCAGGCAGTGTTAGCATGTGCTGGCGGCTGCTGAATTCATGACAGTGTTTTAGCAGAATGTCAACTGCAGCGAAAAAAAAAACGACATATAAGATTGTGAGCACAGGTATGCACAGGTGTACTGATATCCTCTATATTCTCGATTCTTCTGGATAGTCTACCCCGCGGGAAACTTGCTTGCATGTGAGGCATTGGAATGCATTGGTATGTTCTGGATTATGCTGTGTGCCTCTTCTTCTGAAAGAAAACGATCGTTTGATCAATCCAGTGAAGCAAAAAATGAGGCAGCGGCACATCTCTCTGCAAGCAAGTAAGTGCCATGTGAGCGTGAAGCCGGCAGCGGACATCCATTTCCTGTTCAGGTCGCTGGATGTTTCTCACAAAGTCAACAAAGACCCAGATTGTGAAACTGTTCTACAATTATCTACAATGTACAATTCTGCAAACAAAAGATCTGAGTGACC